ACAATAAGTATTCCTTTCCAATTTTTTTCATCACCCTTAATGGAAGTTCAGTGTCCCCTATGCAATGACTCTCTCTTAGCTCCTCCTTCCTGGTAACCATGAATAAATTTTAGTCTTAATTACATTTTGAAAAAAATACTTCTAAAATATAAAATTTGCAGACATACTGTGCAGTTGTATTAGTAAAGGAAATCCAAATTTGTTACATCAGCCTATAATAATGTGTGTTTCAATGGAATATCATAAAATTGTAGCTTTTTAATACAATTAATTCAAATCTACAGTAGTTTCAAGGATAACAAAATGAGCTATATATCCATCTCTTAGATTCACTAATTTGTAACAGTTTTCCATGTTTGCTTTGCTCTTTCTCCTTTCTCATCTGATGTAGTTCAATATTTGCAATTCTATATGATTCAATCTGATATTTAAACACACATACATACATGAAGTGGCAGGAAATTGGCAGAAATAGGTGTATACATGTGTGTGTTTGCTATTTTTGATTCATTTGAGAGTAATTACCCTTCTCAACCAAATATTATCATTACAAATTTAAGCTTAGTATTTTACCAATGATTCTAATGATAAATTATATATAGAGACAATAGTCTATTCTTTTCTTCATTGTCTACCCATACCAACTTATTTGTGAAACTGAGTGTGGAACATGAGTTACAGAAATTCCTCTAACATTTAGTAAGGCTTTCTAATTTTCCAAATACAAACTGGAAAGTGTAAGATTAAACAAATATATGCCACATTTGATCTATATAGATTGCGTAAATATCTAAAAGGATAAAATAATCCAATTTGGATAGTAACTATCAAATTAATCACATAATTGTGTATACAACCATAAATTATTTTCTCCTTATTTTTATAGACTGTCTTTATAAGACTGGAAAATATGCTTAAAAATAATAAATGTTGGTACGTTGATTCATTAATAACACATAATGAAGCTTTACAGTAGAAAATGCCACAAAATCTTTAAAATATATAAAAATAAAACTAAAATTTATTTAATCCTTGTACTTATTTTTGTATTCCAATATGACATTTTTTTTTCTCTGTCAAAACACTGTTTACCATACTGTAGATCCAAGCTTGGATGCTTCCATAATTATTCTTTCACACAGAATGAGGGAAATATAAAGAGGAGATAGACATTTTGTGGGCAAAAGGAACAGAAGCCAGCAGAAACAGGACTGTGATTCCTAATTAATTCAAAGTTAATTGCATTGTTGATAATCCTGCACTTAAAATCTTCATATAGAAAATGTTTATGGCAGCAAATTGACAGTAATTTAACTACATTAAATCTTACCACCGTTAAAAGAAAAAGACAAATGTTACATTAAACAAGCTTAAGAGAATGGTAAAGACTAGTTCTTGTTTAACAAGGGAACTAGTAAATCATTCAAATGGCTGACCGAGAATTTCAAGCTACAGTAAGAGCAATACTTGCATTTCAAGATGGTTCCATGCCATATGTCCTGTTGTGGGCCCTTCAGTTAAGCTGGGTGGAAGTTTTGTTTTTATTTTCCTTCTGTGATGAATATAATTTTTTTTTTTTTTTTAAGATATATAGATCTTATTTGAAGGCTAGATTCTAAACTTTTATTGTTTTGGACAAAAGCAAGACAGAAGTAGGCAAGTAAAGAAACACATTCTGCCCATTATTTTAACTGAAGAGTCAGTATAGGATGATAGAATGAAATGAATTTTGAGGTTAAGCTGCACTGAGTTTGAATTCTGTCACTTAATAACAGTAACACTGCTTATTTCTGTGTATTAATAAGTAAAAGTAGAATCAAGGTAAAGCTAAAATAGCACAGTAGATGTGAAATTAACTATCACTATAATGGGAAATCAATCAATTCTATTATCTAGACTATTTAAAGGAACATATAATCATCCTGATTGTTGAGATAAAGTACTTCCAATTCTCTGCTTTGAGTATGTAGAAAGGCAATTCTGTGTGATGCCTAAATATTTTGACAATCCCATTTATATCTTAAAAATTGTGAAATAAAGAATAGTTCCCAAAAGGGTAGTTTATTAAGACTGTGATACATAAGGACTCTCTGCGGGGTCCATGGACTGTTAGAGATACGGGTCTGCATTTCCTAAAGTTTTTCCAGGTACAAATGGTGAGTTTAATGTACACTGTCACAGGATATATATATATATACACACACACAGAGTGTCAATTTTACTTAAAGTTTTGAAAAAATAAAACATCATATTAGAGCAAACACTAGTAGATTGGGGTTGTTCTGGTAGTTGTTAGGTGCTGTTGAGTTGGCTCTGACTCATAGTGACTTTATGCACAAAAGAATGAAGCATTACCTGCTCCTGTGCCATCCTCACAATCCCTGCTGTGCTTGAGCCCATCATTGCAACCACTGTGTCAATGCATTTTCTTGAGAGTCTTCCCCTCTTTCGCTGATCCTCCACTTTACCAAGCATGATATCTTTCTCCAGGGACTGGTCCATTCTGACAACATGAACAAAGTGGGTGAGATGAAATCTGGCCATTGCTTCCAAGGAGCTTTCTTGTTGCACTTCCTCCAGGACAGATTTGTCCACTCTCTGGCAACCCATGGAATTTTCAGTATTTTTTCTCCAACACAGTTCAAAGACATCAACTCTTCTTCAGTCTTCCTTATACTTTGTCCAGTTTTCACATGCATATGAGGTGATTGAAAATACTATAGCTTGGGTCAGGCACACCTTAGTCTTCAAAGTGACATCTTTGCTCCTTAACACTTTAAAGAGGTCTTTTGCAGCGTATTTGCCCAGTGCAATACATAGTTTGATTTTCTGACTGTTGCTTCCATGGGTGCTAATTGTGGATTCCAGTAAAATGAAAGCCTTGATAACTTCAATCTTTTATGCTGATTGGTCCAGTCTGAGGATTTTTGTTTTCTTTATGTTGACATGTAATCCATACAGAAGCCTGTAGTCTTTGATCTTCGTCAATAAGTGCTTCAAATCGTCTTCACTTTCGGTAAGCAAGATTGCGTCATCTGCACATCCAAGGTTGTTAATGAGTTTTCCTCCAATCCTGATGCCGAGTTCTTCTTCATCGAACTCTATTTCTCAGATTGTTTGCTCATCATACATATTGAATTAGTATGGTGAAAGGATACACCCCTGATGCACATCCTTCCTGATTTTAAACCATGCAATATCCCCTTGTTCTATTTGAACACATTTTGTCTTCTTTGCCTTTAAAAACAAACAAACAACCACTGCCCTTGAGTCAATTCCAACTCACAGCCACACTATAAGATAAAGGAGAACAGCCCCACTGGGTTTCCAAGGTTGTAAATCTTTACAGAAGCGGACTGCCTCATCTTTCTCCCCAAAAGCAGCTGGTGGGTTCAAACTGCCAATCTATTTGTTAACAGCCCAATGCTTTAAGCACAGCACCACCAGACCTCATCTCTCTGCTTTTCCAAAAAAAACAATTCACTGCCATGGAGTTGATTCTGACTTACAGTGACCCCCACTGGGTTTTCAAGGTAGTGAATCATTACAGAAGTAGATTGCCCTACCTTCCTTCTGCAGAGCAACTGGTGGGTTTGAACCACCAACCTTTTAGTTAGCAGTCAAATGCATTGGACAAGGGACCATCAGAGCTCCTATCTCTGCCTTTAGGGATATTTAATATTTTTAAGAAATATTTTATTAGCATTGGCATAATTCACATTTTCTAATATGAATGGTACTTTGCACTATTAATGAAGTACCAATATTTTTTTGGTAAGATGTTTGTCACTTTATTAGTATCACAAGAAAAGCAGTGCTTTTCTAAATTAATATGTGGGATTATTTTGACATGAGGGGAAGACTAAATGAACAGTTTATCAGGTTAGGTGCTTCATCAAATTGCCCATTTATCATTCAAATTGGAAAACAACAAACCAAGCAAAAACTCTGTGCTGACTGAACAGGTTCAGTGGGGTTTCTATTACAGATGCACTAAAAACAAGTAATGGAGAAGGAATGAATCTAAACTTAATTTTTCCTTGGACAAATTCTCTATATTAGAACTAAGTTGGATATTCATAATCCAATTTAATGGCTAAATATTTCCTAGTTTTGTACAGTCTGTTACTTAGACATCAAAGGTCATAAACAAACTCATAGGAGATAAAACACAGAAACAAACAACCCAGATTGTTGTTATGATATTTAGTTTAGGAAAGAGCCTTGTTAACTAATTTCCAGAAAAATAAATAAGAAAAATAAATTATATATGGAGCTCTGGCAGCATAGTGCCTGAGGCACTATGCTGCTAACCAGAAGGCTGACGGTTCAAACCCGCCAGCCACACCTCAGAAGGAAGGTTAGGCAATCTACTTCCGTAGTGATACTGCCTCAGAAACCCAAGGAGGTGTCGCTATGAGTTGGGGCTCACTCGCCAGAACATAACAACAACAATATATATATATACACACACACACCTAACTCTGTTGATGTAGTGGATAAGGCATTAGGCTGCAAACCAGAAGGTCAGTGGTTCAAACCCACCAACTGCTCCACATATGGAAGATGGGGAAATCTACTTCCTTAAAGATTTACTACTATGGAGCTCTGGTAGCATAGTGGCTAAAGCACTTGAC